AATCAACTTAGGGAGGAAAGGATTTATTTGGCTTACACTTTCAGGTCACAGTCCCTTGTGGGGAGATGTCAGAACAGTCCCTCAAGCAAGAACCCAAGGCAGAAACCATGGGAGAATGCTGTTTGCTAGTTGGCTCACAAAGGCTCATACTCAGCTAGCTTTATTATACAGCCCAGGACCACCTGCCTAGGGAATGATGTCACCCACAGTGGGATGGATCTTCCAGTATCATTTAATCAAGACAATTCCCCACAGACATACCCATAAACTAGTCTGATCTAGGCAACTCCTCAGTTGAAGCTCTCCTGTCAGATGAGTCCAGGCTGTGTCAACTTGACAATTAAAAATTAAAACTAACTAAGACAATAATCAATGTTGGGGCTTCCTTAAGCCCAAGAAGAGTTACAATTTTATTTCCTCAGTGTCATTCCGTGTCATACAACAGAGACCAGAAAACTAACAAGAAAAACAAGACCCTGAAATCCACCCTGTAGAGAAGAAAAAAACATTCACTAAGATGTTTAGAATATTCAAACTTCAAATACTTCACTGTAATTTGCATGCTTTACGATATAGCTCACTTTACCTCATTTACAATTTTATTTTTGCATCTTGAAAGAAATCAGATTATGTACAATGAGCTTCTTATTGCCACATATAAAGTAAGATGCCAAATTATCCTGTCTTGCCTTCTGCTTGTTCCTGATGCTAACTGCCAGCTGAGGTTATTCAGAAGTCTCAGTTTCCAGGGCTGTCTTCCATGGGCCATAAGAAGAAAGGGACTCAATCCTTCCAAGCACTGAGCTGTGAGCACCATCACATTAACGCCTCCTACACCAGGGAACAGGTTTATTGCCCCTGTTTCATCCTGGAGCAAACAGGTGCCCAAGAGCAGACAGCAGGGCAAACAGAAGCTGCCACACTGACACACTGTCTCCTCACCCATCCCAGGACTACACTAGCCAAACAATCCCCAACCAAAGAGACAGAGGGAGATGCTAAATATCTCACAATTCATTTTCACAATACCTCGACTGAAAACCGTACAGAAAATGAAAACAAATGTATAAATGCATTATCAACTAATGTTTCACAGATCATGAAGGTGTTTTTAAGTATCTCAGGTTTTGAATAAGTTAATTGTTTCTGTCACTTTGTGCAAAAGTAGAAGAGTTAGAACAGTGGAAGCTATCAATCAGTAAATTCAATCCCAGGTTGTCATCCAATCACTCTTTATTATAATATGCATAATACCCAGCTAATGGATGGAGTTTTCCAGTGCCCTGCATACAAACCCTCTTTACGCTGCCATGATTAGACATTGATCAAGGGTTACTTTGTGTATTAGTTAGTTGCTGTGACAGAAAGAACTTAGGGAGGAGAGGGTTGCTTGGGCTCATAGTTCAGAGCCCATCATGGCAGGGAAGGCATGGAAGTGGGGATGACTCTCTCTGCAACAGGGAAGCATGAGGCTACTGGTCACAATACTTTATCAGACAGGAAGATGCCAAGAACAGAAATGAGGACCAGGCTACAACCCTCACAACCTGTCCCTCCAGTGAGGCTCCACCCAGTAAAAATTCACAACCTCCCCAAAATAGTGTCACCAGCTGAGACCCAATGTTATACACACAAACCTCTGAGGACATCAGATGTTGCTTCCTGGGAAAGAGTAGGACAAAAGTCTTTGGGAAATTGGGAACCAGAGGCAGCTTGAGACAGATATGTGTGAGTGGGTTTGGGAGATATAGGTCTATATCTAAGTCACACTACTTTATATAATCCAGCGAAGGACTTGGAAGTATAGTCTAGTATGGATGCATCCTGGGATGGCCCCACTGTTCAGTCACCATACGATACATTAGCACAAGCCCAGTGGCACAGCCTGCCACACCCTTACCTCCACAGTATATTTTGCCACACCCCTCGGCTCCTCTATGTGTGTAGCCTGCAACAGCCCTTGGCTTTACTGTTTAGTTTGCTACACCCTCAGCTCCATGGTGCACACTCCATGGTGTAATCTGCTGTGTTCCTCAGCCCATGTTGACGCCTGCATAGCCCTTCTGGCTCCACAGTGGGGCCTTGAATTCTCCTCTGCTCCATGCTGCAGCCTGCCACATCCCTCAGCTCCAAGGTGCACACCTGAACAGCACACCACTATGCTAAACACTGTAGGCAACTTGATAAAAAAAAAATATGCAACCAACTGTAATACAACACAAGCATTTGCACAGCTAAATATATCTAAACATAGAAATAGTACTATATCCCAGCACTTGGGAGGCAGAGGCAGGCCTCTGCCTCGAACTCTGTGAGTTCGAGTCCAGCCTGGTCTACAAGAGCTAGTTCCAGGACAGCCTCCAAAGCCACAGGGAAACCCTGTCTCAAAAAAAAAGAAATAGTACTATAAAACCTCAACATTCAGGTGTTTTGGGGGGGGGGTGGAGAAACTGATCAGCAATTAAGAACATTTACTGCTCTTGCAGAGGACCCAAGTTCAGTTCCCAGCAAACCTCTGGCCTCCATAAACTTACACACACACACACACACACACACACACACACACACACACACACACACACACACACACGGGGTGGGGGGTGGATTAAGATGCTAAGGTTTTTTTCTTCTTCCTTTTCACAGCCTCTCCTTGCTCATTTGGGGAGCAAAGGGACAGACATGGTTACAGTAGGCATAGGGCAGGGGCTGACAGAGTATATTGTGGGGATAAGTCAATATAGAACAACATGGAAGATCCTGGTGGGCAATCTTTTCCTCGCTTTCAGCCATGTCCTAGAGTTCTACTCTACACCCCCAGTCTCCCAAGGACTCATTTTCACCCCTCTGCCCCCACAGTCATAGGGCAAGCATTAATGTAATGAAGCTGAAGTGTCTTTTGGAAAAAGACCCTAAACAAACATCGGAAGTATTATTCTTTTTCCCCCAGGCCTTCCCAGCTGCTGGCAAAGATGAAAGAAATATGAACTTGGTTTTCCTGGCAAGGGAAAGATGGAATCAGAGTCCTTAGGGGGCTTCCCAGGAGGCATCACGGAGTAAACTTGCTGTGATTTTGATTAGATAAAACATGGAACTATTCTATTCTGTGCCAACCACATCTTTCTCTTGAGCACACAGTGAAAGTCAAAAAAGAAACAGAAATAGAAACCAGGGGACATATGGCTGTCCTGTAGCTTCCCCATGAGTGCACAGGCACACACACAATCATTGCACACCCCTCCCTGAGAAAAAGAACAAGTATGCTGTTGTCTATACACAAAAAGAAACAAAGTTCATACAGGACATGTGAACAAATCTTGACAATTCTTCCAATGTTTTTAGGAACCCTGGAGATAGTAGGTAAGAAATAAAGTTCTATTCCTGGGTCTTTTGGCAAATCTCATTACCATAAGTACTCTTCAATGTCAGCTGAGGTCCCATTGACACAGAATCTCATCAATCTATGAGTATCCACAGATCCCTTATTAGTTATTTTTCTTGCTACTCTGCTCTTCGAACAGAAGCAACTTAAGGAAGGAAGAGTTTATTCGAGGGATTTCAGTTCATCATGGTAGTGGTGGTGGTAGCTCACGGTGGCAGGAGCATATGGTAAACAGTCACAAGGAGAGGGTCTTTGAAGGGTACACCCACCTTGGGATTTTGTCTGCATTCTCTACCTTCTGGTCAGCCATGGTGCAAGATTCTCTACCATATGCTCCTGCCACCACCACCACCGTGATGAACTCTAGGGCAACATAAAAAATAGATGCTCGGTCATGAGTAGTAGCCCATAGTACTTTCCTCTCCCTGACTCTAGCTGTTGATAGTGTGGGTGCCAAAACATCTTAATCCTTCATGAAGTGTTTACTGAATGTCCAGTGACCAGAACACATCACAAAGACACTCTTAACATGCAAGCTCTCACCATACAAGCCAGATGCACAAGCCTGCGTCTTGGACAGATGAGAGTGGTGTGTGACCAATGAACCTGTCCCTTCTATACACTCCAAGGTCTCAGAAAGTTGCCCCCTCAAGACTCCCAGCCACTGCCCTGGGGCCTGCCCCTCCGTGGAAGAAATCCTATAGCCACAACTCTTCCAACCTCACCCTGAGTCTTCTAGAAGCTGGAGAAAAAAACACAGTGCAAGGTCCACCCCAGAAACTCTGAGTGAATAGCCACAGGCACACAAGGAGAACACCAGGAAGGGCACTGAAGGAGGATGCCCTTTCTTTCTGACTTCTCTGGCAAGAGCATCATAATTTCATTCCCAGCGTGTGGCAGGGATATTGAGAGGAGGGGAAAGAAGTGAGGTCTTGGCTCCAGACATCCATGGGACTGAGGATCTTTAAGTTATTCTAAGCCCTCTCTCTTCCCCCACACATTGCAGAGTTCTTAAGGCACCTTCCACCCCCGAAAGTTCCCCTTCTCCCTCCACCTGTGCCCGATCAACACCCCTCTTTCTGGTCAACTCTCACTGGCCTCTGGCCAGCTCCACTCTCTCCTGACCCCATGTTATAACTTGTCCTTCTTCTCTTGGATATTTTTGACCATGAGGGGTGTTTTGGGCACTGCCTGACATCTCTTGAGTGCAACTCATTTCTACATCTCGTCCTGGAGAGCATGAAGTCAGAAAACCCCATGAAGATGCCATCACCAGCATCCCAGGGACAGAATCAGCACCTTCTTTTCTCCCCTGCTGCCCCCATGTGGGCCCATTTGGTATAGTTGATGGGGCCATAAGTCATGGGCAGGCAGGTGATGAATTAGTATGCTTCCTACAGAGCAGATCCTCCACCTGTTCTGGCCAGTCAATAAAGTTCAACCTACCACCAAGTGGTTGATGCTCCAAAGTGCTTTTGAAATCCACAGACCAACAGGGTGGCAGGCTAGGCAGCTGTCCCAAAGCAAAGACTCTCAGAGGAGTCAACCACACACTCCTGGGGTGGAGAAGGCAGATGTCAAGGAGAAAGACAAAACTGTCTACAAACAGATTCAAACTCACCTTTATCATAATCGCCATCCTCAACCGCTTTTTCTTGAAGTTTCTGAAGCTTTAAACTTAAGGAAGTGACCTGTGTTGAAGGGGAAACATGAGAAACAAATTACATGCAAGAAATTACATATAAGAGACAGATTACAAATAAATTCCAGTAAGTTCGTTTTGTGAAATCTAGAGCACCTAAAAACTATTTCAAGGATGGGCTGTCAAGATGGCTCCAGGGTGAAGGCCCTTACTGCCAAGCCTGAGAACCTGAGTTGGGTCCCTAAGGCACACACAGTGGTAAAGGAGACCTGACTTCCACAAGTGTTCTCTGACCTCTACAAAAGTACCATGACACACACATGCACATAAATAGAAATTGTAGTAAAAACTATAAGTCCTGAAAAGCATTACCATTTTTAAAAGGGAAACTATTTTTAAAGTAAACTTTTATTTAAACTATTTTTAAAAAATACACACACACACAAATATACAGTTTTCCAATGTCAAATGCGTGTTTCTTTAAAAAAAAAAAAAAAAAAAAAGTTCCTTGAACAAAAAAGCCTAATTTAGCATGAAATCCCCAGAAAGATTTAGAATGCCACAAATACCACAATGCTATGTCATTATCAGCATGAAGAGCTTTGTGGAGAGAAGGAACACAGACGCAGGCCAAATGACCTCTGCTCTGACCCTCAGAGCATAGCCATCAGGTAAACATGGGGACTAAAAGAGTAGCCAAGAGGAGGCGGGCATGGACCACAGCTGTCTCCAAGCTAGCCAGCCCAGGATGGGGGGCAGCCCTGCTTGAAGGGTCCACGCGGAAGGTTCTGTCTTGGGCTGGACTTGTAGCTCAGGTAGTATGCACCTAGCATGCACAAGGACCTAATTCTATCCCCAGCACAGGAAGCATAGAACGGGGAGAAGAAAGGAAGGAAAAGGAAGTGGAGAGCCACCAGCAGCCATGCCTGCCTTCCTTTGCAGAACAACTTCTAAACACTGAAGCTGGGTGCTGGGGAGATGGATGGATCAGTAAAGTTCTTGCCTTGAAAGTATAAGGACCTGAGTTCAATGCTCAGAACTCACACACACACACACACACACAGTGACCCATGCTTGTGATCCCAGCTCTCTCTGGGGAAGAAGGCAGGAGAATCTCTGAGGTTCACTGGCCTAAATAGTGCACTCCACAACAGTGACAGGAAGTTAAGTTGATACTCAAAGTTGTTTTCCAGCCTATACACACACACACACACACACACACACACACACACACACACACTCACTCACTCACACCAAAATAAAACCATCTCTTTGTAGGACGATCCGCACAGCCCAGGAGGAAGTGAAGCAAAGCAGGGGAGGGTGGGGCCCACTTTCATTCTTTCCAAACTTCAGCTGATCAGCCCCCTTACCCTCCCAGTGTCTTATTTTATCACATTTATTTACTGCATGGCCAAGGGAGATGGCAATTTACAGGAGTCAGCTCTCCCCTTCCACCATGTGGGTCCTGGGAATCAAACTCAGGTTACAGGCTTTGCAGCAAGTGCCTTTTCCCACCGAGCCATCTTCCCAGTCCCCAGTGTCCTATTTCAAAAGCAGAGTTATGCTGAACAACCAGCACTGCAGGTCAAAGGTTGTGGAGAAGTGTGGGCCCCATCAGTGAGTACATGCTAGCACCTAAGCCACACAGACGGAAAGCAGAGAGCATAGCACCCATGTTCAGATGCAGAGGAGACAGAAGTGCTGCCACATCTTTTCAGTCAGCCACCCCAGGAGGCACTGCAGCTTCCAGGAACAGCGCTCAGTCGGCTGCCCACTCCCTGCCTCCACCCAGCACTGAGTTGAAGTAACAGTCTCCTGAAGGACACACACCTCCAGCTGCCTGCGGTTGCTCAATAGATAGTCCTGTAGCACCGGCTCCCATTTGCTGATCAAAGCATCCCATCCGCAGGTATCCGCCCCGCTGCTGCCCTGGTCGCCCCACCCACTGGCTGAAGACAGATCCTGGGAAGAGAAGCCAGTGTCCGAGGAGGAGGCCATGTCACATTCCAGCTTGCTATTGCTCCCTGTCACCTGATCCAAGTCCACCAAACCTGGAGTGGCTTGAAGACTGAAGGTCCAGAGATGTCGAGGGTCCTCATGGGGCCTGTCTGAACTGGATGCTCCAGCTGCCATCTCTTGGGGGCTCTGATGAAGGGATTCGACCTCTCGGGATGGTAGGCAACCTTCTGCTTCCCCACGTTCTCCAGCAGCACCAAGGGAGAGTCGGATGAAGCTAAAGCTGGAAGTAAAGGTGTCTTGGGAGCCAGGAAGAACTGGGATGTCAGCAAGGCCATTCAACTCTAGTGATGGCAGAGGCTTCACAGTCTTCAGGCCCCTTGAGCCCTCACTCAAGGCTACATCAAGGCTAGGGGCCAGGGACTTGGAGCTGTTAGGAGATAAAAAGTCTTGTCTACATCCACTGTCCCCAGGCCTACATGGCCTGGTCAGCCTCTCAAGTAGTTTGTTGCCATTTCTGGAATGAACCCCAAAGCGCACTGGTGTTTCTCTCATAGAGCTCTGATCTGGGTGCAAGTGGCCCACAGAGGCCACAGCAGGGGCAAGCAAGCTCTTGAGCAAAGGGCTGCCCACCACCTGACAGCGGCCGCTGGGGCTGAGGCCACACTGCCCAGTCTTAGTCTGTGAGTAGTAGGACTCCTGGCCTGCCAGTCGTGCCGAGGTCTGGCATGGCATGCCCGCTGCTGGAAAGAGGAACCCGATCCCCGGACCGGCTGTGCTTCTCATGTAGCCTGGTCTCCGTGTCAGCCTCTGCCTCTGAGGGGCTGCTCCAGGCGGTGAGCCGTGCCCACTGTCTGAGAACAAGAGAAAACAATACATGTTACTGACTTAGTAGGAACTGCATGTGGCAGATATGCTAAACATACAAGTCATCTGTGAGTACACCTGTCAAAGGCACAGCATGAAAACTCTTACGACCCCTAGCCAGGCATGGTGGAACATACCCATAAAACCAGTACTTGGGACATGAGGGTAGAAAGACCAGGAGTTCAAGGTCATCCTCAGAAACACAGGGAGTTCAAAGCTAGCCTGAGCCACATGATACCCTGTCTTTAAAAATTAAAAGAAAGAAAGTTGGTGTCCCTCTGCTGATGCCCAGGTCAGCACAGCATCCCAGCCCTTGGTTGGCAAAGAAGCAGGCCCTGCTGTATGTCTAACAACATGTCAGTACAGATCTTGGGGGCACAGCCTTAGTAGTTCCCCAGCAACTGTCATAGAGCCAATGATGTATCACTTGTCCATCCAGAAGAGGGCTTGGGAAGCGAGCAACCTGATACCAAAATATCAGCGTGTGACTCATTCCAGTCACTACTGAAAGACACTTGGATTTTCATTATCCAACTATCCATGACATTACTTTCCCAATGCATTCCTGAGGCCTTATGGCTGACTGTGGTACAAAGGCCGTCCATCCTTCCATCTCATACACTAAACCTGTATGAGTCCTCACCTAGCTATCCTGGAGAAATAGGAACAGTGACAACTGCTGCCACCTCACTGTCTGGTCCAAACCTGACTATACCACCTGATGACTGTGTGACCTTCTACAAGCTATTCAACTTCTCTGTGCCTCAGTTTCCTCCTCAGTAAAGGGGGTATAGAAGGACTCCTTGTAAAAGTTCTTGTAAGCATCAGTATAAATAGTTTAGAACAGGGCCTGAAACATATAAATATGATAAAAATGTTAGTTACAGGACTGGGGAGATGGCTTAGCAGGTAAAGTATTCACTGTGCAAGCATGAGAACCTGAATCTCCAGAACCTTCAATCTCCAGAACCCAGGTTAAAAAAAAAATGCCAGGCATGATGGCACATTCTTGCAATCCCAGTGCTGAGAAGACAGAGACAGGAGGATTCCTGAAGTTCACTCACCAGACAGTGTAGCCAAATTGATGAGCTATAAGTTCAGTGATGAACTCTGCCTCAAAAAATTAAAGATAGAGTGTCTGGAGAGCTGGCTCAGTGGTTAAGGTAGCAACTAGGTGCCAAGTAACCTTGCTAGCACCAACTTCAAAGAAATGGACTAGAAGAGAAGCTTGTTCAGCCCCACATTATGCCAACAGAAATGCCAAGGGCAGGTTTTCTAAGGCCACCATCTTCAAGATGTAGATGGGCTTCTACTCCACAAGAGCACTTGTTGCTCTTGCAGAGGACCTGGATTCAGTTCCCAGAACCCACAGGGCAGCTCACAACCATCCATAACTCCAGTTCCAGGGGATCCAATGCCCACATCTGACTTCCCCAAGCACCAAGCACTACTGTGGCACATATAGTACATGCAGAAAATACATTCATACACATAAAGTGACTAAATAAAAACACAATTTTTAAAAATTAAAGGTGAGGAAAGACATCTAATGTTGCCCTTCAATCTCCACATCTCATGGGCATGGACACACACACAAATGTATTCCCATTAACAAGGACATACACCACACTCACAAATACCACACCGTATACACACACAAAGCTGAGTGTGGTGGCACACACCTGCAACCACAGCTCTGAGGAAGTAGAGAGAAAGAGGATACCTACTGTTCACTATCCAAGCAGCCTAGCCTAATTGGCAAGTTCCTGGTCCCCAGGAAAGACCCTGTCTTACACATACCTGGAATAATAATTAGAAGTTGGTGATAACTACTGCCAGGTATGACCTCCCAAAGCCTGGCTCAGTCCTGATCCTTGTCTTCTTCAAAGTTCACCCTTTCTCTGGTGAACCCAAAACTGGGATGATGACTTCAGTGACAGGCAGTCAAAAGACAGATTTCTGTTCCTTGTTAGGTCATGACAGCATGTTTGGCCATTACAGTCCTGAGGTGGCTGATGTGGGTCTAGTCATTCGGGTACCCTAGCTGTCCTTCTGTGTGTCACCTCCCAGAATGATGCTTACCACAGTAACAGAGCCCCACCAGCCTGGAGCACCCACCGGGGGTACAGAATACAAGAGAGAACAAAGGGAGCCCCAGAAGGACATCTGTCCCTCCAACCCCCTGTAAAAGTGGCAAGAGATTTGCTAAAGAACCAGGAATCCAAGTTATAGAGCACACTGAGTTCTGGCTGCAGTGGCCAGCGGAAAATGCTGACAATTTCACATCGTGACCAATAAGTCCCAGGAAGCTATATTGTCTTCTGGGTTAAAAGACTTCTAATTATTTTGTAACCCAAATACCATCACTTCAGTAACTCTCATATTGTTCAAAGGGCAGTGCTAAGTAGAGAATAACTTTCCAAATGTTGTATGGTCTTGGCCTGTGTCACCCTCCTGGGGTCCTGAGGCCATAAGCCTCAGCTGCTCCAGCCAGGGTCATGTAAGTCTGGAGAGCCACAGGCCTACTACAGACAGGTTAAGACCAGAAAAAGAAGTGTCTGCCTTGCTAGGGTCATAGATTCATGGCAGCACATCTGCCTACCATGCAAGAAGCCCTGGGTTCTAGCTCTGCTAGCAGTGCCCACCCTCAACACACACACACACACACACACACACACACACACACACACACACACACACTATTCATCAAACACAATGGAATACAAGGCAAACCCCACTTCTGCAGCTAACTGCAGGCTCATATGTTCCATTCTCTGTGAAGGTGACCACAGTGTTCATTCTAACTCTCAGGTACCAAAGGGTAGAGGACTGGACAGACACACTGACATCCCAGCCTGGAAGGAACTTTTGGAATGAGCTAGAAGGAGCAGAAGAAACCTATGCAGGGTCTAGATCAGGTTGCTAGGAAGATTTCTAGTCTCCCACAACCAAAGTGTGCAATCCAATCCCCAACACAGATACACAGACACACACAAACACAGACACAAACAAGCACACACACACACACACACACACACACACACACACACATTTTCTTTCTTTTTTTGTCTTTTTGTTTCACACACCCCACCCCACCCCCAGAGTCTTTGAAGTCCCCTGGGACCACAAATCAGTTCTCACTCATATATCCTTCCTGTAACATGACCTCATGGGTTTGCTCTGGTCTGCAGCTGAGGAAGGGCTGCATTATGGCTCAGCTGGAGAAGGCCACACTTCCTCCTTATTGAGCATAGTTAGCTCTGGAAAGAGGCTCCGCCAGACAGGAAGGAAAGCAAGGCACCACCAGGGTGAGGCCCAAAGTGAGAGCTCTGTGTGTTGGCCAGGAAACAGATGTGATCACCCTGTTGTGGAAAAACTAGAGATGACTTCATTCTGCCCACCTGACCTAGGAATAGCTGGCCCAGGAGAAGGGCCTGGTGCAGCCTCTTTAGTCTTGCAGACTTCTGCTCCATAAGAGACAGATTCAGGGGAGCAGAGTACCTTACCTCCTCTCTCAGCACAAACCATCTGATATAGAACCCTATTTCCCCCACTCAGCCCCATGGCTCTGAGATTGAAAGGAAGGACAGATAGGTGCTTGAAACCAATCTAGATGTCAAAGGGCCTCTCTGAATGGTCCAACAAGCCCCTGAAAAGCTATTTCTTTGGGATTCTGACATATACTGAAGGCCATCTGAGACACCCAACCTTGTGGACTGAAAAACTACTGAATTCTTAGACTTTCCATTGGAAGACAGCCATTGTTGGGCTAGTCAGATCACAGCCTGTAAGCCATTCTAATTAATCCCATTTTTATATAGAGAATCATTCTATCAGTTGTTTCTCTAGAGAACACAGACTAATGTAGTAACTAAAGGAAATTTCTAGAACTGAGATAAAATTGATACTGTCACACTCTTCTCTCTTTTCTTCCAGAAATGTCCACCAAAATGTGTAAGAGTAAAATCCAGTTAATAATTAGTTGCTAACTCCTAACAGGATATTTTGGAAAAAATGAGCTTGGAATTTTGCCTGCCCTACTCCTCTCTGAAGCTTCCATTTATTTTCTCGGGATATTTTCAATATTTTTTATTATGCTAACATATACACAACAAAATTTACCATTCTTACCATGTGTAAGTGCTGAGTTCAGTGGCATTGGGTACATTCACACTGTTGTACAACCATTGATACCACCCATCTGCAGGAAAATATGGTCCCCACCAAAGATTGACACCCTCATACCCCTCTCCCAAACTCCAGTGAACACCATTCTACTTTCTGTCGGTACAGATTTAATAACTCATGAGCCAGAGACCAAGCCTGTTCTAGAGTTGGAAGTCCATCTGAAAGCCTGTTTTCCCAACATGAGACTCTTCCGGGGGAATTCCAGGCCCTTGGGGACTATTATCCCAGTCCTGTGATAGCCAAGAAAAGGGGCACACGCATCTCTTCAGAATATCTTTGCTTCTCCAGGACAATTACTAGAATGCCCCATGATGTGATCTCACAGACCTTTGGTCACCACCCTCCCCAGCCAAGAGCTTCCCAACTCTCATCTAGCTTTCAGAGTCTGGCTTTCCCCCCTTTTCAGACTTGAAGCACTAGCTGATGCAACTGGCAGTCAAGGGTTATAACTACACCACAGGTTTCAGCTCACAGTCCCTTAAAAGAGCCATCCCATGTTGAAGATTCTGCAAGACTGACTGAGTAGAGACTCACGATTGTGAAGAATGTTAGGATTGATAGCCAAAATTATCCCAAATTATCACTAGTCCCCTTAATAGCTATTCACTGCCCACTCTGTGTTTGATCTGATGTCCTTTCTTATCAGGTAAAACCTTTTTGAATGTATTAACTTATAATATCATTAGCTTCCACCAAACAAGAGCTAAGACTTGCCATCAGACAGCATCTGAGACCTACAGCAGAGACTTCCCTGCTTTGCTATAACTGGCTTGCAGTCCCCACTCCCTTTTCTGATCAACACCTTGATGTATAATTTTTTGTTG